AGAACGCACAATGTCCTTCTGCGAACCCATCGAAATCCGAGATTGATTTTACGCAATATTTCGCGTTTGGAAACATTTGTCCGCGGGTACCGGGCGCGGGCTGAGAAAAAGTCGTCTTCAAAAGGTTCTTTTGCGAGAATCCGCGATATGCGCATTGAAACAAAATGGCGTCACGATTTATTGAAAGTGGTATAGTTGGTACGAGGGTTCAAAACCATTAATTTTGAACTCCAAAGTGTTCGTCTTCTTTTTGACATGCTCACAACAGCTCGCAACAAAGAAAAGCTAAGGACTATGGAAAGAGAGCATGCCAAAGAAGATGAAGGCTATACATGTACTTGTAGTTCAAATGGTTTTGAACACCTGTACTGTACAACCAACTATGCCACTTTCAATAAATCGTGACGCCATTGGGTTTTAACACGCATGTGGCAGATTCTCGCAAAATAAACTTTTGAAGACGTCTTTTTTCTCGCAAAAAAACCTTCTCCAGGTCACGCACGACCGGCCCGCGGCCCGCGCCCGGTACACGCGGGATTTAATGTTTTTCAATCGTGAAATTTTGCCCGAAATACCCAGATTTCGATGAGGGCGTAGAAGTACAATCATGTACTTATATGACTGTAGTCGTTGTTGATTTGACAGCATGCATGAAACAAGTTCTAAGGCGGAGAACACCGTCTTCGGAAACAGTGACCTTACAACAACCATCTAACACCATGACTGTACTAATAGTACTAAGCTCCCTTAATTAATCTGACGTGAATACCCCGTTGTTTATCGATGTGAATTAAGCTGTCGAAGTGCCTACGTCACGCTGCCTGAAAACTCGTAGTTACACGTGGTTACAATAGTATTATTACAAGGCCAAGTGGTGACAAACAAAAGTCGCGTTACCTGCGATTGTGGTGTTTCCCGTGGTAACAGCATCACTTTGACTGGGGCGCTCTGGTGCAAGATCGCGATTTCAAATTTTGTTATACTTCAAGAAGTTTCGCCTTCGGTCTAAAGCCATCTTGCAGTGTTTTCTTGCTGAGTGTTTACCAGCACTTGAGAGATACGAGTTTTGATTTTCGCTTGCCGCTGGACAAGGAAACGAGCCCCGAGTTGGTTGGTCTCAGAGCGAAAAGAAATCAGCAATCGTTGCGATGGAAATAACGGAGACCGTGACCCATCATTGTTTCTTGGCCGGCTACTACATGTACATGTACATGTACATTTAAAGCCGAACGACAGTACAGGCACAGCAGTGGCCAAGCAAAAAAATCAGCTACGCTTCTCCTTCTCTATAAAGCGAAAAATACAAGCTCGGCTACAAGTAGCAGTTTAATTTATTGTTTGAAATAAAATTAATAATCTTGCTCGCGCGCTCCTCAGCGGTCAAAATGATGCTGTAGCTGTGTTCACTGCATGCTGCTGGCACTAGAACGTACTAGAAACACATCAAGCGCAGGTACTAGGGGACTCGACTTTCGTTTGTCATCACTTGGCACTTGGCGGGCCAAGTAACTACGCATTGTCAAGAAGCTGTGACGTCAAACTTCAAAGGCCTATGGGGAACCCACTTATAGTTATACTTGTTATACAGCACGCGGCTACCACGCGTTGGTACATCTAATACCGAGCACCTTACGAAAAAACTAGAGTAGCTGTGACGTCACTCTCTTTATTCTCGTGAGATGTGTACTTGTTTTGCAGTTTGTTTGGTTTATTTGAATTCGCACAGTAACCGTGGACTTCAGCTATTCTCTCCTCCCTCTTCTGAATTTGACTCCCCGCTGGCCTCCTCTCCTCCCATCCCCTTACATTGTATTGGGCCTCCGCAGCTTAACCCCCCCCCCCCCCACGACCACCACTCCACGCACACACAACATTGTCACATAGCACAACTCAACCATTCGCTACCCTGTTATTGAGCACTCCTGCTCGTTTGTCACGTGACTGAACACCCTAGCAGTGTTCTCTATGCGCTGAGCCCGCGCCGCTGGCCCCGGTCAATCGACTGGATATCCATGTCCGCTACAGTAGTACTTGAGTGAGTACGAGGATTAAAGGGGAAGTATACCCTAAAATCAAATTTTCACCAGTTGTAGTCTTCTGGGTGCTGAGTCGAATGGTCTTGGTCCGAGGAAGCTGCGACGCTCCCTTCCTACTTGAATCCCAATCGAACTCGCGCACTTCCACCGAAACTGGGTGACTGCGCCCTACTAGATGGGGATTTGTATGCAAAATGTCACTAAAAGCGCCATTTCGTTCTTATAAAAGCACGGATGACCGCGATTGGCCCATATGTTGTAGTCTTTTGGACGCTGAGTCGACTGGTTTTGGTCCGAAAAGGCTGCGATGCAGCGTTCCTCCTATATTCCCAATCGAACATGGTTGAACAAGCGGTCACGTGCTCCTGGGTGCCCAAATCACCTGGTCACCGCGCCAGCAGGCGACAACTTTCACACCAAGGTTCAACTCGAGTTCAACTCGAGTGACAGGACTGCACCCAAAAAAGGTCAAACAGGCTAGTAAGTTGTACCCTGCAGGCACGGTGACCAGCTGACTGGTGTACGCAGGAGCACGTGACCGCTTGTTCAACCATGTTCGATTGGGAATAAAGGAGGAACGCTGCATCGCAGCCTTTTCGGACCAAAACCAGTTGACTCAGCGTCCAAAAGACTACAACATATGGGCCAATCGCGGTCATCCGTGCTTTTATAAGAACGAAATGGCGCTTTTAGTGACATTTTGCATACAAATCCCCATCTAGTAGGGCGCAGTCACCCAGTTTCGGTGGAAGTGCGCGAGTTCGATTGGGATTCAAGTAGGAAGGGAGCGTCTCAGCTTCCTCGGACCAAGACCATTCGACTCAGCACCCCGAAGACTACAACTGGTGAAAATTTGATTTTAGGGTATACTTCCCCTTTAACTATAGCTGCTAGTATAAGGGCCCTTACACACTACGTACATGTAAAACGCAACTAACTTGAGCATACGTTGCGTATGCGCCAGCCTGATCAAGTGCAGTTGCACACTGACAGGTGATCTGCTTTTTACGTACATGACTGTACTGATGTAGTGCAGTTCGGATGAAATGTTCTGCTCTCAGAACGAGTGCTGTGTGTGCTTCTTCGATTTCGTTCTGCATCTTGTGTTGGAGCCATGCCCATGGAGCTCAGGTTGACTCCGGCAAGGAGAAAGCGGCGACGTAAAATTGTTGCCGCCATGATATTGCAGGACCTACAGAAGCTAGTGAAGTCGTCTGATGGCGGTCCTGTTCTTGATATTTTCTAGATGACTGATCGCAGTTGCTCAAATTTCATGGTCACGACGATGCTCAGCATGCTGTTGCGGAATGGTACCGTCAAATACAGAATTGGTCGCAACTTGTGGACAGCTCACCCTGAGAACGAGTTTGGAACGCCTTGTTTTTTGATATATCGCCCACAGCTCCATGAGCTTCGCCTCCATTTCTTCTGTGCACTGGATTTTCGGCATCGTGTCGCGCTCAGCAATCAAACAAGATCGAGTCTACTACGGCTTGAACAACACGAGTTCAGGTACGAGAATTTCAGAAGCAGGCGAAAAGTCCAATGGACAGCTGAAATTGAAACACGGAAATCCACACAGCACCAAACAGCAAAAACACCAACAAGAAGTTGAAGTCCGAAAGCGCGGGAAGGCATAAAAGCTAAAAAGCTAAAAAGCAGCCTTCTACACCCGTCCGAGATCTGAGTAAAACGTTTACGCAACTTTTTAGATTTCGTGCCATATGACGTCAGTCGACATGGCAACTTTTACAGGAACGCAACAAAAAAGCGGTTTTCTACGTAGTGTGTAAGGGCCCTAAGTGGGTTCCCCACAGGCCGTTCACGTTTGACGTGATTGATTTTATTTGGATTCGCGAGACCAAACCGTTTGGTCAAGTACTACTCAAGTACTACTGTAGCGGACATGGATATCCAGTCGATTGACCGGGGCCAGCGGCGCGGGCTCAGCGCATAGAGAACACTGTCACTGCGTGCAGTGCACAAGTAACTCTGATGCTAGTCATGCACGCTGCATGCAGCGCGCTAGCGCGCTTGCATGCGTGTACCGCTTATCCAGGGCTGCATAGCCAGCGCTCTGGGACCGCTAGACGTGCGACCATAATATGTCCACGACAGTAGTAGTAGGGTATAAAAAGCTAGTCATTTCACTGTCACTGTCATTTTGCAAGACATTCTAGACGAAGACGCTTCGAGTTTTGTGTCTCGTGGCTCTGGTGGCATGTCATTGAGGTTGCCTGACCTGGTTCAATTTTTGTTTCGTCCATCTGAATCAAACATTATCAAAATCCTCAGTGGTAGTATTCAGACGTTTTCGGATTCTGCGATTCTTCTCTAGAACTGTGAGCGATCTTACTGGTGGGCTCAACTGAACCGTGCACAACTCCTCTCTCAGCTGAAGTTTCAAACATGGCGGGAAAGGAGCCTCGTGTTTCTGGCAAACAGATGGAGCAGTGGTCAAGGTACGTTAATGCATAAGTATGATCACTTGTTCTACAGAAAACCAAATCTCTGCTACAGTCATGTAGTTATAGGAGTCAGGCTTTGTATGAAAGGCAGCTTTCAAGGTGAAGTTAGATTGGCAATGATCTTACCTGATTTGAATTTCCTAATTTCCTATTTTCTATCCATTTACTATTCATCCAATCTATTTTACAAGTAATTTTACATCCCAAATCAAATAGGCAAGTATGCACATAGCAAGCAATCGCGGGTTATCACCTAGACATAATAATAATCTGCATAACGGTAAATGTAACTTAGTTTAGAATGGAACTTTTGCTCAGCGTCACCCTTTTAACCAGGCCGTAACGGGGTCGGCCAAAGGAATCCTAGAGAAAGAGACTCCTCCTCTCCACTGCTCAACCAGGATGCCGACATAGGTCCGAAAATAGACAACTAAAGGGTACGCAAGAAAACCTTACGGCCAAGGCTGCGCAGACTTTGGCCTACTAGTATAAGTACATTCAAAATTTACGAGGAGCACACAAAAAATCTCCATTGAAACCTAGGCAACCTGCGCAGTTCCAAACTGGAAAGAAGAAACACTGGTGGTAGGAATTCACACCGGCGCAGTGAACCAGTTCCAGTCTTCTATATCGAAGTTTACCGCGCCTAGTGTAATCCAGCGAAAACAACACAGCCTCAACCGAATGTTGCCTTTGTTTCATGAGCGCCAAAGACAGAAGTAATCTGTGCAAAAAGATTGTGCTCTTATGGAGGTACCTAAGTATACATACATACATACATAAACACAAACATACATACAAACATACTTTAGTACATACATACATACTTGCATACATACATCGTGATCTTGATCCTGCTGCCAAGTCTCGCTACATACACACATACATACAAGAAACAGACCTAGATACACCCACTCTTATGTTGTAACCCATCCACCCAGTGATACATATGCTGTTTTGTCTTCGTTATTTCTTCCATTTGGTTTCTATATGTCTGGTTCACACAGGATTCAGCGGAATATCCGATGTAGTATCATCGAAGAGGATCGATTCGGTCGCACAGGAGCAACCCTGAGGTCGTCAATTAACATCATTGGTGGACTTGATATTTCGTTCAGCAGCAACGACAACCAGACGGCCGTGGCTGCGCTATCGCTATATAACTACGGTACCATGCAACACATGCATACATTTAAGATTCCCGTCAAAATAACCGTACCATACAAATCCGGCTTTTTGGCGTATCGAGAAGTCGAGCATTATGTCACGTTGCTGGAGACACTTAAGAAGGAACACCCCCAGTGGAAGCCACAGGTGCTTTTGGTGGATGGCAATGGAATTTTGCACCACAGAGGCTGTGGTTCAGCCAGCCATCTAGGAGTTGTGGCTGACGTGCCCACCATTGGTGTAGCCAAAAAACTTCTTATTCCAGCGGTTCAAGCCCGAAGTGAGCGACAATTCCGAGAAGTAAGTGAAGAGTTCTCTATGTTCTTGCCCTGGAACATTCGTTAGGAATACTCGCATCTACTTCTTTATCTTTGCCGTGATGATGCCCAATTCGCACAGTATTGGCTGTAATTCATTATTATTCCTGTCGTGCAACTGAGCGAAATTTTCGTAGATGGAGGGGATAGCAAGTGAAAAGTACTTAGCTTAGGATTTGGTCCTAGTGATAATCATCTGTCCCTGTTGAAAGTTTAACACTTGCGTCTTTTTGACCCATTTGGCATCCGCAGGACAATATCAAACACCTTTGCCAAAACAGAGGCACGGCTCCAGTGATTGGAAAGGGCAAGACCGGCATCATTGGAGTAGCCAGCGTCAACAAAGGTGGATCAACACCCGTCTATATTTCAGTGGGCCACAGAGTGTCTCTGAATACTGCAGTTAGAATAGTCCAGCAGTGCTATCGAGGCAATTGTAGAATTCCAGCTCCTATAGACAGTGCTGATCAAGAATCCCGGCAACAGATTGGTGCAAGAACGAGAGATACTCGCCCGCGTGTGAATGCCAAGCCTAGAGATCGCAACAGTTACCACGGACCAGTGCAGCAGGTCGACATGGACACGTCTGGCGGCAAGGATTCCACGACTTCCACCACACATGACGTTCAGCAGGAGACTCCGAATACAGCTCCACTGAAGGCACAGCCATCAGATAACGCCCAAGGGACTCCTGGTTTCCCTGCTCGTCTACGTGGCAAAGCAGCTCACAACTCCCCAGACGACGAGGGCTTCACCTCGGCTACTGGAAAACATACATTCAAGCCCAAGCCATCAGCTAACGCCCAAGGGACTCCGTGTTTCCCTGCTCGTCTACGTGGCAAAGCAGCTCACACCTCCTCAGACGACAAGGGCTTCACCTCGGCTACTGGAAAACATACATTCAAGCCCAAGGCATCCCCGTCAGTGCAACACATCACCCGATCCACAGGTAACATGGGCTACGGAAGCATCAGCCACCAAGAGGGAGAGGCATTTGGAACGCATTGCAGCTACCCGCAGAGGAAGCGCTAGTGCAATCAAGGTAATTAATGGCTTAAGTTGTGTTTGCACCCTCATTACTCACCATTATGTATCATACAAGTTGCCAACTATACCAACAGGACACCCGTGGAAACCCTAATGAAATCCCATTTCATCCTAGCTCACAGCCCTCTAATTACTCCCTTTTATCGAACATCCACATAAATCCTAGCATCGCATCAGAGTCTGTCACACGATAAACTGCTGGAACTGTAAAGATAGGCTTCATTAGTTCATTCAGCCTTCGACATAAGATACACCACATCACTACCCCTCTCGAGGAACGCATTGGGAAATCCTGCGCGGTTACGTAGATACATTCTACGTAGATCGAAGTCAGAGCACGTCGAGAAACGCATCTTCTAGCTTGTATATACCGATATTAAGACGAACCTGTGTCATACATGTACTGGCCTCTAGTGCGTCGCCAAAGACAGTAAGAGCCTGAGGAGGCATACTGGTGTTCGAGGATGTATTGCTTTTCGAAGAAACTCAATTTCCATTGAATGTGTGAATTGTGAACTGTAATGTCTGGCCCAATACAACATGTACATCGTTGATGTTGAAATATTTCGCAGCGTGTATAATAATCACCTGTGGTTCACATGGTGTAGCCTCGTGCTCTCGAGTGTCCCTGGGTATCACTGACCATGCTTGGTCATTTTCTATTCTCTGCTTCAGCAAAAACTGGATGCTGCCACCCGGGATTCGTCTTCGAACAGCGACCCTGATGAGGTTCCTGTCGCTATGGGCAAGCGGAAGGCTACCCAAGCAACGCCAACCAGGGATAACCTTGATGATTATGTTCTTCTACACTTTGTCATGTGATAATTGTCAACTCGCTTGCTAGCCTTCCTACTTTGTTGTATCCCATTTATTTTAGTATTCCTGATGTGTGTCCATACCCCTGCTTGATGATTTAACTCCAGTTTCTTTCATTGGCTACCTTTAATTCCGTACTCCACTGATGATAGGGACAGAAGATATATTTCTCGCCGGCCGAGCGGAGCGAGTGAGGTTAGAAATGATTTCTCGCGCAACAAAATTATTTTTCTTCCGAATATGGAATCTGGTGTTTTCTCTTTTTGTTGCTGTTCTTTTTGCCTGACTTCTTCAGTCAGTTTTTTATGTCTCACCAGTGTCCCCACCCTCCCACGTTTCATGTCTGCCCGTCTTTTTCCCTTTCTTTCTTGGCTGTAAATATGTTGTGCCAGTTTAATGCTGCCATATTACCACTTGGGGTTATACACCCGGTCTTTTCCCTCATTCGTGCGTTCGTCGGCGCGAGGGTTTTTTCCCGGCTGGCTCGGTCCAGAGAAATTAATCTGACGGTCCCAAGTGGTGCAATGCAATCACTTTTCCTCCGAGGGTCTGTCTCCCTGTTGTTGCTCCTAGTTTCGTCTGCATTCCGGTTCACATCTGGCTACGGCCTACTACCCTCACTCTGTGTGCTCTCCTGCCTCTGTGGTCTGGGTCCATGTCCTTATGTCGATGTATGTGGAGCGAGAACATCGGTTCTGGATTATAATATTCCTGATACACTACTACTAGGATAAACATACATATCGAACAGGAAACTTACCTGTGGTTGCGTGATGTATGCAGCCTTCATTTTATTTACAGCTCTATTAAAGTTATTAACTCCTCGAGGGTTGTTAAAACCGAAAATGAATAGAAAATATGAAGTTCAAATCAGGTTCCAGATCCGTGACTGTCTCAAGTCGCCTTGTATGCTTTCGTACATGTCTAGTCTTACCCTTACAATTGGTAGAGGTTTGGTTTTCTGTAGAACAAGAGGTCAAACCGACATGTATGCATAACCGTACCTTGACCAGCGCTTTATCTGTTTGCCACAAATATGGCGCTTGTTTGACGCCTTGCTTGAAACTTCGGCTGTTGGAGGAATTTTGCACACCTTAGTTGATCTCACATGGATGCAGCTAATGGGATTTCGGTCTTTGACCACTTGGTGGTGGGTCTGATCTACTCACCTCCCACCGTTTAGGCGCTGCATCTGCGCCTTTGATCCTAGAGGGTGGTGGCGTTCCCACGGCGGATGCGGAAAACTCGGCTTCCAGCCGAGTCTCACGCGAACCGTGAAATTTATTTTTAGTTGATCTCACCAGTACAGACTGTATATTGCCGAAATCCATAGTCTATTGCCAGTGAAAAGCACTAATTATTCCAGAGAACAATGTCTTAGAACTCAGCCATCTGAATTCTCCACCGAGCAAAAAAACGCGTTACATGTATACATTGTTTGTTTGTTTGAAGTTTTATTTTACATCGCAAACCAAACGGGCATTGATGCCCAATATTATGATGGCGATAGAATAAAAAGTGTGGCTCGATAAAGCTGCACTTGAGAAAATGGGAAAATAGTCAATAGGAAGTATTTGTACCGGTAATTACAAGTCAAAATCGAACGAAGTAACAATCAGAGAGAAATAGCAAGATGAGGTCCTATGCCAGAGGGAGGTGCTATTTGGCCATATTAACCGTAGAAAAACACTTTCAGCAATCCTTTAAACGAGGTTGGACGACGAGTGGACGTGAGTTCCTGTGGCAGGGTGTTCCAAAGCTTCACGGCAGAAACCAATGGTCGGCTGTCGCCAGATGTTCGCCGAGTTAGTGGAACAACGTATTTGCAATTGTCATTGCCACGGGTGTTACTGGGAGGTTGGAGGGCTACTCTATCTTTCAGAAGAGGGCTGATGCTGCTGGTGTGGACTAAGTGCATAAGCAAACGCAGTTTGCATTTGGCACGTTCAATTGCAGGGGTCAGTGCAAGGCGAGTGTATATGAGTGGTATGGGACGGGAAGGGCAGATTGGCTACGCAGCGAACACATCGCTTGTCGAGGACAGTGAGCTGGTGCCGCTGCTGAGCCTTAAGTGCTGAGAAGAACGCGTTTGATCCATTAAGCATGTCAGGAAGTATAAGGGCAGAATAGAAGAGGAGTGACTGGCGTTCAGATAGCGACGGGCGGATGGTTCTCAGGGTGGTTAGCTTGTGCGAAGTTTTACGTACTATGCTGGAGACCTGCGCGTCCCACCGAAGACAGGAATCGAAAGCGAACAGTGGTGGTCTGGGTGAGAGGCGTCCCGTTGCAGTTAAGGGGGCAGCCTACCCATAAATTTCATATGGCATTCAATTGACCGTAACTTTGGTGTTTCTCAATGGATTTGAGTGAAATTTTGATCACACACTCCTGCCACTATGCTGGCCCTCAGGACATGATTTACAAGTTCTTGCGCCTCACTGACAGGCTTTCCAGGCCGGAAAACTCAAATTTCCGGCATAGTGCCACGCTGTGCGAGCCACCCACGAGCCAAACAAATGCATTTTCAATTTTTTCACATTTTCGTGCTCATTCTGTTCGTGCGCGGGACTCAAACCTAGTACAAGTCCAGAAGCAGCCATGGGTGATAGGGTAGGGCCCCTCAACGAGGCCCTGGAATCTGTCACAACGGAACGAGTGGGCGTTCTCTCACACACTCCCACAGACCAAAGTCAATTTTTGAATTTTTTTAGGTTTAGGGTGTGCTTGCTACGAGGTCGTAAATTTGATACAACATCCAGTGCTGGGACCTCCACAGCAAGGAATTTCCACAGCGCTGCACACCAAATCCAGGATACCCTCAGAAACCGGCAAAGACTTCCACTCACGTTTCACGACTGCCTAGTACTGAATCCTACCTGACTTCTTGACACGACTCAAACTTGCCAAAGTCACTAAATCAACGTCAACGACAATAATCAAGCCACATATCTGCAACGTCACGAGGGTGCTGGCAAAAGTCCTGCTGCACGGCGGCGGGCTTCGCCCGCCGCCGTGCAGCCCAATTCGTGGCTCAAAAACCTAATTTTTTGGACTTGGAGCAAAATTCTGCACACTTTCACGTGTTTCCATGATACGACAAGTTGCGCACGGTCTGCTCACATTCAAATACAGTGCTGCTAACAAATGATAGCGTGCAACAAAAATATCTTTCCTTGCAAGGGCACATTTTCGGCCATAACTCTTGAACGGCCGGTCAGATTGGGACACAATTTTCAGAGAATTTGCAGCTATTCATGCTCTTTCAATTGACGTAGCAATCAATATGAATTTACAAATTCGATTTTTCAGCAAATTTTTGGGTAGTCTGCCACCTTAACGTTGACTTCCAGGGTACCACGGCATGAACCCTCCAATGGCTAAGACCTGCGTCTTGTCAGGGTTTAAAACCAGGCCTTTCCCGTGTAGGTAGTCAGCCAAGTTTGACACAGCAACTGATAAGACTTGATTTAGGGTTGCTACAGATCCGCATGCGGTGTCGAGAAGGATGTCATCCGCAAACAGCTGGGAGTGTGCTGGGCTGGTGACGCTATGGACGTCCATGGTATAAAGTGAAAACAGCAAAGGCAGTATGTAGCTGGTGGTCTGCTGACGACAGATAGCGGTCCATGGCCAAGGTCAGGGTATCTTCCGTGGAGTGTTGGGGCCGGTACGCAAACTGATTGGCGGGCAAAAGTGAATGGGTTTGTAAGAAGTCACACTGGCGTTTGTGGACTATCTTCTCCAAGATCTTCGATGCTAATGGCAGCAAAGATATGGGACGGTAATTGCGAGATGCGTTCTTGTCACTAGACTTAAATAGGGGTCGAACATTTGCAATCTTTGGGGAGAAGGGCACAATGCCAGGCGAAAGGGATGCATTAATTAATATGGATAGCGACGGGGCGAGGGCTGCTGGACAATGCTTCAGGAAGAATGCCGGAATACTGTCGCCGCCCTCAGCTTTACGAGCATCGAGTATCACGAGGAAGGTGAATATCGCCTCAACACTAGTGGCCTGGAATTCCCCCAAAGAATCCTCAACTGATGTAAAGTTCAATTCAAGGTGACAAAACAAATTGAAACCAAGTAGTTCGGCAATTTCTGTCAATGAAATGCCACCAAAGGCAAGTGGCACAAAAGTTGAAGCATCTTCCTCTAGATTGCTTTGCAAAATGACAGTGACAGTGAAATGACTAGCTTTTTGTATAGCCTACTCTACAAGTAGGTATTGAATCTAATAACACGTCAGAAGCTGGGTGTTTGTGCCATAGGCACCGGCGGATAATGTCGGCATCATTATTGGCATAATTTGGTGGTTGAAAATTTGGAGCAAAATTTTGCATCCTCTCGGAGGTAGGAGCATAACTACACGATTATACCACGGTTCTAGTATGTAGGCTATACAATTGTGTACAATGCGCCTGATCAGTGCTGGTGGTCTGCATGGCAAAGCGTTTGGAGGTCATGCAGATAGTATTTTGAATGAAGAGCAGGGTAGAAATCATGGCAGTACAATATTGCATGCTCGAACTCGTCTTCGGCAAAGTTCTTTCTCACACTGGCACAGTACATGTAGGAGAAGATGCGAGTGAATCAGCCTTCATCAGGTATCCCGGGGCGGAAGGGATAGTGACGGGTAGTCCGCAAAACTACGTGAACATTTACCGGTACTCGTACATTACATTTGTACATTATGCATGTTACGAAGTCATGACCAGTCTGGATTTAAGCAGCCATGATATGACGGCATGCTACGGATATTGCTCTTGTTCGGTCATGATGGAAGGAGAAGTGGAGCTACGGGCGAGATAAGCTGATTATTCGCAGGGTGAGGCCCAGGGTGACATCGGTTGGACGAGTATGATGATTACGAAGACAGTTGAACATGATAATTTTCCAAGGTAACTCAAACTAATTTGGCAATGAAATAATATTTTTACTGAAGTACAAAAGAAATCAAGTAATGAATAGAGGAAGTATTGTTTTCTCTTTTCCTTGTTGACCGCTTAGGCTCTTACATGCATGGATACCTTGGTATGGGGATACTCATGTACATGTTATTTGTTGTACTTATGGCCACTTGCAACTTGCAAGTACGAAAAAAGGCACAATTTCCTGAACTTTGAGGGTCCTTAAGTACAACAAAGTGAATGCACATGTATATCCCCGGGTGCTAAAGCATAATATGAGGATTTTACGACCATAATGCGAGAATCCATGAAAGCAAAATTCCTTGATTTCGCGAGAATAACCCGCCGGAGCCTATTGTGCACAGCTGTAGTTCTAGTAGTAGCAGAAGTGGGTTGCCCATATACATCAATAAACAACGGGGTGTTGACGTCAGATCAATGGGGCCTAGTAGAACGCACAATGTCCTTCTGCGAACCCATCGAAATCCGAGATTGATTTTACGCAATATTTCGCGTTTGGAAACATTTGTCCGCGGGTACCGGGCGCGGGCTGAGAAAAAGTCGTCTTCAAAAGGTTCTTTTGCGAGAATCCGCGATATGCGCATTGAAACTAAATGGCGTCACGATTTATTGAAAGTGGTATAGTTGGTACGAGGGTTCAAAACCATTAATTTTGAACTCCAAAGTGTTCGTCTTCTTTTTGACATGCTCACAACAGCTCGCAACAAACAAAAGCTAAGGACGATGGAAAGAGAGCATGCCAAAAAGAAGATGAAGGCTATACATGTACATGTAGTTCAAATGGTTTTGAACACCCGTACTGTACAACCAACTATGCCACTTTCAATAAATCGTGACGCCATTGGGTTTTAACACGCATGTGGCAGATTCTCGCAAAATAAACTTTTGAAGACGTCTTTTTTCTCGCAAAAAAACCTTCTCCAGGTCACGCTCGACCGGCCCGCGGCCCGCGCCCGGTACACGCGGGATTTAATGTTTTTCAATCGTGAAATTTTGCCCGAAATACCCAGATTTCGATGAGGGCGCGGAAGTACAATCATGTACTTACATGACTGTAGTCGTTGTTGATTTGACAGCATGCATGAAACAAGTTCTAAGGCGGAGAACACCGTCTTCGGAAACAGTGACCTTACAACAACCATCTAACACCATGACTGTACTAATAGTACTAAGCTCCCTTTATTAATCTGACGTGAATACCCCGTTGTTTATCGATGTGAATTAAGCTGTCGAAGTGCCTACGTCACGCTGCCTGAAAACTCGTAGTTACACGTGGTTACAATAGTATTATTACAAGGCCAAGTGGTGACAAACAAAAGTCGCGTTACCTGCGATTGTGGTGTTTCCCGTGGTAACAGCATCACTTTGACTGGGGCGCTCTGGTGCAAGATCGCGATTTCAAATTTTGTTATACTTCAAGAAGTTTCGCCTTCGGTCTAAAGCCATCTTGCAGTGTTTTCTTGCTGAGTGTTTACCAGCACTTGAGAGATACGAGTTTTGATTTTCGCTTGCCGCTGGACAAGGAAACGAACCCCGAGTTGGTTGGTCTCAGAACTAAAAGAAATCAGCAATCGTTGCGATGGAAATAACGGAGACCGTGACCCATCATTGTTTCTTGGCCGGCTACTACATGTACATGTACATGTACATGTAAAGCCGAACGACAGTACAGGCACAGCAGTGGCCAAGCAAAAAAATCAGCTACGCTTCTCCTTCTCTATAAAGCGAAAACTACAAGCTCGGCTACAAGTAGCAGTTTAATTTATTGTTGATAAATATGGTGGTAAAGACACACCTGGCAATATGGCGGTAAACACACGCCTGCCCACACACGCTCTCTAGGCTGCAAAGTTCTAGCACAGAGCTCTCCTTCTCAGTTTAATTTATTGTTTGAAAATTAATAATCTTGCTCGCGCGCTCCTCAGCAGCAGTCAAAATGATGCTGTAGCTGTGTTCACTGCATGCTGCTGGCACTAGAAGTACTAGAAACACGTCAAGCGCAGGTACTAGGTGACTCGACTTTCGTTTGTCATCACTTGGCACTTGGCGGGCCAAGTAACTACGCATTGTCAAGAAGCTGTGACGTCAAACTTCAAAGGCCTATGGGGAACCCACATAGTTATACTTGTTATACAGCACGCGGCTACCACGCGTTGGTACATCTTATACAAAGCACCTTACGTAGAAACGAGAGTAGCTGTAACGTCACTCTCTTTATTCTCGTGAGATATGTACTTGTTTTGCAGTTTGTTTGGTTTATTTGAATTCGCACAGTAACTGTGTACTTCAGCTATTCTCTCCTCCCTCTTCTGAATTTGACTCCCCGCTGGCCTTCTCTCCTCCCATCCCCTTACATTGTATTGGGCCTCCGCAGCTTACCCCCCCCCCCCCCTCGATCACCACCCCACGCACACACTACATTGTCACATAGCACAACTCAACCATTCGCTACCCTGTTATTGAGCACTCCTGCTCGTTTGGTCTCGCGAATCCAAATATGATCAATCACGTCAAACTTGAACGGCATGTGGGGAACCCACTTATACTAGCTATAGCTAGCTAGCGCGCATGCATGCGTGTACCGCTAATCCACGGCTGCATAGCCAGCGCTCTGGGACCGCTAGACGTGCGACCATATGTCCACGACAGTAGTAGTAGGGTATAAAAAGCTAGTCATTTCACTGTCACTGTCATTTTGCAAGACATTCTAGACGAAGACGCTTCGAGTTTTGTGTCTCGTGGCTCTGGTGGCATGTCATTGAGGTTGCCTGACCTGGTTCAATTTTTGTTTCGTCCATCTCAATCAAACGTTATCAAAATCCTCAGTGGTAGTATTCAGACGTTTTCGGGTTCTGCGGCTCTTCTCTAGAACTGTGAGCGATCTTACTGGTGGGCTCAACTGAACCGTGCACAACTCCTCTCTCAGCTGAAGTTTCAAACATGGCGGCAAAGGAGCCTCGTGTTTCTGGCAAACAGATGGAGCAGTGGTCAAGGTACGTTTATGCAGAGGTAGGATCACTTGTTCTACAGAAAACCAAATCTCTGCTACAGTCATGTAGTTATAGGAGTCAGGCTTTGTATGAAAGGCAGCTTTCAAGGTGAAGTTAGATTGGCAATGATCTTACCTGATTTGAATTTCATATTTTCTATCCATTTACTATTCATCCGATCTATTTTACAAGTAATTTTACATCCCAAATCAAATAGGCAAGTATGCACATAGCCAGCAATCGCAGGTTATCACCTAGATATAATAATAATCTGCATAACGGTAAAAGTAACTTAGTTTAGAATGGAACTTTTGCTCAGCGTCACCCTTTTAACCAGGCCGTAACTGGGTCGGCCGAAGGAATCCTAGAGAAAGAGAATCCTCCTCTCCACTGCTCAACCAGGATGCCGACATAGGTCTGAAAATAGACAACTAAAAGGTACTCAAGAAAACTTTACGGCCAAGGCTGCGCAGACTTTGGCCTACTAGTATTTTAACATACAAGTAAATTCAAAATTTACGAGGAGCACACAAAAATCTCCATTGAAACCTAGGCAACCTGCGCAGTTCAAAACTGGAAAGAAGAAACACTGGTGGTTGGAATTCACATCGGCACAGTTAACCAGTTCCAGTCTTCTATATCGAAGTTTACCACGCCTAGTGTAATCCAGCGAAAACAACGCAGCGTCAAGCGAATGTTGCCTTTGTTTCATGAGCGCCAAAGACAGAAGTAATCTGTGGCAGAAGATTGTGCTCTTATGGAGGTACCTATGTATACATACATACATACTACCTTAATGTCTGTGGTGCCTCCTTTGCACCATGGCTGGTAGCTCGGCCTATTTAGCTCGTAGCTGTACTGATGAGGCCTTTATGGCCGAAACAGCTTGCTGTCTGCAGCATTGGGTACATACATACATACATACATACATACATACAAACATACTTTAGTACATACATACATACTTGCATACATACATGTACATCGTGATCTTGATCCTGCTGCCAAGGTTCGCTACATACACACATACATACAAGAAACAGACCCACATACACCCACTCTAATGTTGTAACCCTTCCACCCAGTGATACATATGCTGTTTTTTCTTCGTTATTTCTTCCATTTGGTTTCTATATGTCCGGTTCACACAGGATTCAGCGGAATATCCGATGTAGTATCATCGAAGAGGATCGATTCGGTCGCCCAGGAGAAAACTTGAGGTCGTCAATTAACATCATTGGTGGACTTGATATTTCGTACAGCAGCAACGACAACCAGACGGCCGTGGCTGCGCTATCGCTATATAACTACGGTACCATGCAACACCTGCATACATTTAAGATTCCCGTCAAAATAACCGTACCATACAAATCCGGCTTCTTGGCGTATCGAGAAGTCGAGCATTATGTCACGTTGCTGGAGACGCTTAAGAAGGAACACCCCGAGTGGATGCCACAGGTGCTTTTGGTGGATGGCAGTGGAATTTTGCACCCCAGAGGCTGTGGCTCAGCCAGCCATCTAGGAGTTGTGGCTGACGTGCCCACCATTGGTGTAGCCAAAACACTTTATATTCCAGCGGTTCAAGCCCGAAGTGAGCGACAATTCCGAGAAGTAAGTGAAGACTTCTCTATGTTCTTGCCTTGGAACATTCGTTAGGAATACTCGCATCTACTTCTTTATCTTTGCCTAGATGATGCCCATTTCGCACAATATTGGCTGTAATTCATTATTATTCCTGTCGTGCATCTGAGCGAAATTTTCGGAGATGGAGGGGATAGCAAGTGAAAAGTACTTAGCTTAGGATATGGTCCCAGTGATAATCATCTCTCCCTGTTGAAAGTTTAACACTTGCGTCTTTTTGACCCTTTTGGCATCCGCAGGACAATATCAAACACCTTTGCCAAAACAGAGGGACGGCTCCAGTGATTGGAAAGGGCAAGACCGGCATCATTGGAGTAGCCAGCGTCAACAAAGGTGGATCAACACCCGTCTATATTTCAGTTGGCCACAGAGTGTCTCTGAATACTGCAGTTAGAATAGTCCACCAGTGCTATCGAGGCAATTGTAGAATTCCAGCTCCTATAGACAGTGCTGATCAAGAATCTCGACAACAGATTGGTGCAAGAACAAGGGGCACTCGTCCGCGTGTGAAAGCCAAGCCTAGAGATCGCAACAGTTACCACGGAGCAGTGCAGCAGGTCGACATGGACGCCTCTGGCGGCAAGGATTCCACGACTTCCGCCACACATGACGTTCAGCAGGAGACTCCGAATACAGCTCTTCAGTCAGTTTTTTGTGTCTCACCAGTGTCCCCACCCTCCGACGTTTCATTTCTGCCCGTCGTCTTCCCTTTCTTTCTTGACTGTATATATGTTATGCCAGTTTTATGCTGCCATATTACCACTTGGGGTTAAACACCCGGTTTTTTCCCTCATTCGTGCGTCCGTCAGCGCGAGGGTTTTTTCCCGGCTGGCTCGGTCCAGAGAAATTAATTTGACGGTCCCAAGTGGTGCTTATCCTGACTTTATGTTATGTGAATTCAATCACTTTTCCTCCTGGGGTCTGCCTCCCTGTTGTTACTCCTAGTTTCTTCTACATTCCGGTTTACATCTGGCTACGGCCTACTACCCTCACTCTGTGTGCTCCTGCCTCTGTTGTCTGGGTCCATGTCCTTATGTCTGTGTATGTGGAGCGAGAACATCGGTTCTGGATTATAATATTCCTGTTACACTACTACTAGGATAAACATACATATCGAACAGAAAACTTACATGTAGTTGCGTGATGTATGCAGCCTTCATTTTATTTACAGCTCTAGGTCAAACCGACATGTTTGCATAACCGTACCTTGACCAGCGCTTCATCTGTTTGCCACAAATATGACGCTTGTTTTACGCCTTGCTTTAAACTTTGCCTGTTGGAGGAATTTTGCACACCTTAGTTGATCTCACCAGTACAGACTGTATATTGCCGAAATCCATAGTCTATTGCCAGTGAAAAGCACTCATTACCCTCCCTTTCTTTTTCTCTCCCTATCTCCTTTCCCTCTCTGACAGCATCTTTCTTTTTCTCCCTTTTAGCTTGCCGTGGTTGGCTATCACCTGACCTCTCATGTTTATTGGCAGTCTTCGGACGGGCCAGGAGATGTTGAATAAATAAATAAAAATAAATTATTCTAGAGAACAATGTCTTAGAACTCAGCCATCTGAATTCTCCACCGAGCAATAAAACGCGTTACATGTATACATTGTTTGTTTGTTTGAAGTTTTATTTTACATCGCAAACCAAACGGGCATTGATGCCCAATATTATGATGGCGATAGAAAAAAAGTGTGGCTCGATAAAGCTGCACTTATGAAAATGAGAAAATAGTCAATAGGAAGTTTTTGTACCGGTAATTACAAGTCAAGCTCGAACGAAGTAACAATCAGGGAGAAATAGCAAGATGAGGACCTATGCCAGTGGGAGGTGCTATTTGGCCATATTAACCTTAGAAAAACTCTTTCAGCAATCCTTGAAACGAGGTTGGCCGACGAGTGGACGTGAGTTCCTGTGGCAGGGTGTTCCAAAGCTTTACGGCAGAAACCAATGGTCGGCTGTCGCCAGATGTACGCCGAGTTAGCGGAACAACGTATTTGCAATTGTCATTGCCACGGGTGTTACTGGGAGGTTGGAGGGCTACTCTATCTTGCAGAAGAGGGCTAATGCTGCTGGTGTGGACACAGTGCATAAGGAAACGGAGTTTGCCTTTGGCACGTTCAATTACAGGGGTCAGTGCAAGGCGAGTGTATATGAGTGGTATGGGACGGGAAGGGCAGATTGGCTACGCAGCGAACACATCGGTTGTCGAGGACAGTGAGCTGGTGCCGCTGCTGAGCCTTAAGTGCTGAGAAGAACGCGTTTGATCCATAAAGCATGTCAGGAAGTATAAGGGCAGAATAGAAGAGGAGTGACTGGTGTTCAGATAGCGACGGGCGAATGGTTCTCAGGGTGGTTAGCTTCTGCGAAGTTTTACGTACTATGCTGGAGACCTGCGCGTCCCACCGAAGACAGGAATCGAACTGTAGGCCCATAAAGCGAGCAGTGGTGGTCTGGGTGAGAGGCGTCCCGTTGCAGTTAACGTTGAGTTCCAGGGTACTACGGCGTGAACCCTCCAATGGCTAAGACCTGCGTCTTGTCAGGGTTTAAAACCAGGCCTTTCCCGTGTAGGTAGTCAGCCAAGTTTGACACAGCAACTGATAAGACTTGACTTAGGGTTGCTACGGATCCGTTTGCGGTGTCGAGAAGGATGTCATCCGCAAACAGCTGGGAGTGTGCTGGGCTGGTGACGCTATGGACGTCCATGGTATATAGTGAAAACAGCAAAGTACCAAGTAGTACACTACCCTGAGGGACTCCACACCCGCATGCAGTTAGGCGCGAGCACTGCCCACTCGCCAGAACTACTCTCTGTCGATGGTCCGTGAAGTAGCTCGCAAACCAACGCAATGCAGTCGAAGATACACCCAAAGCAAACAAATCTTGGATCATGAGCTGGTGGCATACTTTATCGAATGCCTTGCTCATGTCCACTAGTACTGCGCCAGTATGTAGCTGGTGGTCTGCTGACGACAGATAGCGGTCCATGGCCAAGGTCAAGGAATCTTCCGTGGAGTGTTGTGGCCGGTACGCAAACTGATTGGCGGGCAAAAGTGAATGGGTTTGTAAGAAGTCACACAGGCGTTTGTTGACTATCTTCTCCAAGATCTTCGATGCTATTGGCAGCAAAGATATGGGACGGTAATTGCGAGATGCGTTCTTGTCACCAGACTTAAATAGGGGTCGAACATTTGCAATCTTCGGGGAGAAGGGCACAATGCCAGACGAAAGGGATGCATTAATTAATATGGATAGCGACGGGGCGAGGGCTGCTGCACAATGCTTCAGGATGAATGCCGGAATACTGTCGCCGCCCTCAGCGTTACGAGCATCGAGTATCACGAGGAAGGTGAATACCTCCTCAACACTAGTGGCCTGGAATTCCCGCAAAGGATCCTCAATTGATGTAAAGTTCAATTCAAGGTGACAAAACAAATTGAAACCAAGAAGTTCGGCAATTCCTGTCAATGAAGCATTACACGAGGGATTTGTCAGCTGCATTCCTCCAACGTGCCGTGGACGCAGCAGGACGATGGTTGAAAGATTGGCATCTCCTCGTCAACACCACGAAAACCGTCGTCCTTTCCTTCCAACCCCAACACACCATCCACATCACGCTCCACTCTACTCGGCTGCAGCAGGTCCACCAACATAGGCACCTTGGTGTTACACTCCAAGACGATTTGCGATGGACCCAACACATCATAGAAACCACCAACAAAGCCAAAAAACTACTACACCAACTCCACAAGACACGTGGCACAATGAACGCTTCCAGCCTATTGTTAATATACACAACCTACATCCGACCCGTTCTCGAATATGGCAGCCTTGCCCTCTCGAACACCACACAGCAACAGCGGGATACACTGGAGAGAATTCAACGCCGTGCTATACGCATCTGCCTTCGAATTCCCCTCTTTGCACCAGTTCACCACAGCTCCCTCCTCCATCACGCAAAGCTCCCCACCCTTAGCTCACGACTCCTTGTTAAACAAGCCCTACTAGCATGGGACATCCACCACCAAACCTCCCCACCACACCTGCAACAACCACATCTTGCACCACAATGTCAACACCAACCATACACCCTTCGACAGACAAGGACCTACTCCATCGGACACGCACACACAAACAGGCACCGAGACTCCCCCATCAACAGTGCCCTCACCCTCTACAACTCACTCCCTATCGACATCACAACCCAACCTCGTAGAAATTCTTTCCGAAACAATGCATCCAGTCTTCTTTTGAGCAGTACCTGCTCCTGCTCCGCGCATCCCCCTGGTTTCTGATATCTCGAACGTGTACTTAACTATCTCGATCACCCCTGCTAACATTATTGCCCCCGCTTGTTTTTCATGATCCATTGCTTCTTGCCTCCAGGTTAATTTCCATCTAGCTGTTTCTGGCTAGTACCAGTTCTATCGCACTTATTAATCATCCTTATTGGCGTCACGCGATCGTGGAATAAAGGAATTATATGAATTGCCACCAAAGACAAGCGGCACAAAAGTTGAAGCGTCTTCCTCTAGATTGTTTTGCAAAAGGACAGTGACAGTGAAGAGACTAGCTTTATGTATAGCCTACTATACAAGTAGGTATTGAATCTAATAACACGTCAGAAGCTGGGTGTTTGTGCCCTAGGCACTGGTAGATAATGTCGGCATAATTATTGGCATAATTCGGTGGTTGAAAATTTGGAGCATAATTTTGCATCCTCTCGGAGGTAGGAGCATAACTACACGAGTATACCACGGGTCTAGTATGTAGGCTATACAATTGTGTGCAATGCACCTGATCAGTGCTGGTGGTCTGCATGGCAAAGCGTTTGGAGGTCATGCAGATAGTGTTTTGAATAAAAAGCAGGGTAGAAATCACGGCAATACATTATTGTATGCTCGAACTCGTCTTCTTCAAAGTTCTTTCTCACACTGGCACAGTACATGTAGGAGTAGATGCGAGTGAATCACCCTTCATCAGGTATCCCGGGGCGGAAGGGATAGTGGCGGGTAGTCCGCAAAACTACGTGAACATTTACCGGTACTCGTACATTACATTTGTACATTATGCATGTTACGAAGTCATGACCAGTGTGGATTTTAGCAGCCATGATATGACTGCAGGCTACGGACATTGCTCTTGTTCGGTCATGATGGAAGGAGAAGTGGAGCTACGGGAGAGATGAGCTGATTATTCGCAGGGTGAGGCCCAAGGTGACATCGGTTGGACGAGTATGATGATAACGAAGACAGTACAACATGATAATTTTCAAAGGTAACTCAAACTAATTTGGCAATGAAATAATATTTTTACTGAAGTACAAAAGAAATCAAGTAATGAATAGAAGAAGTACTTCCTCCGTATACGAAAACTTCGTGACTTTTTTTGAATGGTGTTTTGGAGCAAGAACCTGCTGAACGAACGGCGCCAAAGGCTGTCATCGAAAACCCACGTCCATGTCGAGGTTAGTTTGGTTGATCCCGAACAGATTCTCCACGGACGCCATGCGTGTGGGGATGTTGCCGACAGAAACTCAAGAGTCAAATGCAAAAGAAACTAACACTTACTTGCTCGGAAATGACACAGTGACGAAGTGTGGCGGGAACACGGAGTCACGCGGCACTCTCTGCCCTGAAACTGGCCAGGCTCGTACTCATGGTACTTGCGGTGCGCGGCCCCACAGATCTACGCAGCGTGAGAACATAGATTTGTTTCGCTCGCACGGCAAGATGAAACATTTCAGTCGTCATGCAACCAGCGCAGACTCAGGATAAGAATGTCGATGGCCTGGCTTTCTTCGCCTCTCTCCAGTCAGACGTCTCTTTTGTCGCCAAGGGGAATCGCAGGGACCTCCTCGAAGCCATTGAAGAATGCTTGGGAGTATTATCCTGGCGAGAAAATGGGAAGCGTGTGGATGTGCTTGTATGACTCGTTTCACGGCATAATGAAGGTCGCGGGTTGGAACGACTGAATATGGGCGACACCGATTCGTACACAGCTCTAGAGATGAAGAGGACGTAGCCAAAGTCCAGCGTTGGATCATCACTGAAGGTGACAAGAATCCGAACGAAATGCGAGCGGAAGCAGCGACTGTTGGCGATAGGGAGTCAGCGTCGTCAGGTGACAATGACATGAGCGACGAGGACTCTGAAAAAACTCAAGCACATTCGTCTGAGTTGCTTCTTTCTTTGTTTATAGCTTTTAAACAGACAATGCCACGAGTGTAATTCCGAGTCAAACGGGACAATTCCGGAGCTGCGCGCAGCTTTCAGCAAAAGTCACGAAGTTTTTGTAAACGGAGGAAAATATTGTTTTCTCTTTTCCATGTTGACCTCTTAGGCTCTTACATGCATGGACACCTTGGTATGGGGATACTCATGTACATGTTTTTTGTTGTACTTATGGCCACTTGCAACTTGCAAGTGCGAAAAAGGCACAATTTCCTGAACTTTGAGGCTCCTTAAGTACAACAAAGTGAATGCACATGTATATCCCCGGGTGCTAAAGCATAATATGAGGATTTTACGAGCATAATGCGAGAATCCATGAAAGCAAAATTCCTTGATTTCGCGAGAATAATCCGCCGGAGCCTATTGTGCACAGGTGTAGTACTAGTAGTAGCAGAAGTGGGTTGACCATATACATCAATAAACAACGGGGTGT